GGGACAAAAGACATGAAACTGCCACTCCTATCATACGTGACAAAAAGACGAGAGAGAGAGAGAGATGGGAAGCAAAGACGCCCACGTATTGACAAAAGTAGTCAACATAGGAGTCTCCTCCACAATTAATGTCACCTGTAAAGATCGTATTATGGCCCCTACACATAGTCCTCTATTAATCTCTCTCTCTCTCTCTCTCACCCTTTCTGACGCACCAGCATCCATAAGATGCTCTGTTCAGTGTTTTTTTGTAGGGTTCCTACCTGAGAATAAATGATGATACTAATGAAAAAAAGAAAAAGAAAAGGCATATTATTGGTAGAATACTCCAGCTGGGAGAATGAAATCTTGAGTTGTTATGCATAAAAAAAACTGACCTATAATTAAGAAGCGGGGCTCCACCCTTAGGTTCATATTTGGTAGGTGCCTCCGATTAGGCAAGGTTGCCATCATACAATAAGGATCTATTGCCTTGGGGTTCGAGTTGTGGTTTGTGATTATAGCTGAAATGATATGACAGTTAAGAAGAAAAGTGTTCGGTTAAAATAGCTATTGAAATAGAGAGACACTAAACTGTCAGTTTCCAATACTTTTTATTCAATTCGTTTATATTAACACATACACACAAAGATATATATCTTCTTTTTATAAATATTACATTTTTTTTATAAATAATATCTTCTGATTTTCATCAAATTTTCCAGAGCATTTTTTTTATTTTTAAAATAAAAAACAAAATAAATTAGAAAAAAACATAAAATGAATATAAAGGACTAAATACTCAATTGTTTAAACAAAAGGACTTAATCCATTCATTTTTCAAAACTGAAGGAGCTAATTTATAATTTACTCTTCGAAGTTTGAAGGGATAGCCGGTAGGCACCTTTTGATTCTTTTCCGTCTTTAAATTCATGGTTAACTCTTTCAGAATTTGAATTTAAAATTTCTTAATTCGTTCATTATTTACCTTTAATGCTCCAAGGCAATTGATGATTTACCGATTAAAGGTCTATTTGATTTTGCTATGCTTAAAAATAAATTATATTTTTTAACTGCTCTGGAGAGAAACAAGTGAATACATACTTATCCAATAATCAGTTTTTACCTTTATGATATCACTTCCTTTTTTTAAAAAAAAATTGTTTGTCAAATATTTTTATTTTTCAAAAATTGGACAGAAAAACCACTCGAACTTAGTAGCACACCAAGACAACACGGACCTAAAAAATAATTATAAAACCAAGTAGCGTTTATAGCTAGATCATAAACTTGTCTCGTTTGCGACTAGGGTTTGAGCTAAGTACTATTATCAAGCTTTGTCAAGAGACGTTAAGCCATGACATGACAAACATTATAATTGATTGCCTTTGATTTTCCAATTGCAGCACGCATGATTGACTTCTAGATCAACGCTAATCATTTCGTAATCTTGAAAGGAGATAACAATCCTCCATTAATTACCTTATCGTATCTCTTTTTATGATGCAGCTAGTAGGCAAGGATGATCAGCTAATCAATAATTAACGCTTGTGTTGAACAAAGCATGCTTTTCAAGTGGGTGGTGGAGGCAGTAAAGACTTTAATAATAACAATTCAATGGTCAAACGGAATCCAGTCCCATCATTAATGGATGTCATTAAATCATAGTAAGTTACGACTTTTACTTTTTCTTTTATATTCAGATTTAGATCATCAACTTTCTTCCCTCTCTGCGTATCAGACTTCTCCCCTTGCAATTGCATTGATTCACGCACCAATAACAAATCGTAGTTGTTTTCGGCGATTTTTTTTTAATAGCTATGGGCGCCATTCTTTTGCAGCCAAATCTAGTTTTTCCTTTCAACTAAAAATGGATTATCCGTAGATTTCAAAACTAGAGGAGGTTTGAGAATGTGATGTATCGCATTCCTTTACCATTATTGCGACGGTGTATGAGTTAATTCTGAAAAAAATCTATCAAAAGAAAAATAAAAAATTTACTCTATTATTACTCCAATATTTTTAACTTAAATTAAAAGATCATTACAAAATTAAGTAAACATTTTTATTCTCATATGCATTGGAAAATAAAGCACGAGTGACCTAACGAATAATGTTAAATATCAAAAAATTATGAAAAAAAAATCGAATAATACACATGGACTAATAGATTATGATTTTAAAGTGAGACCCACTTTTAGGTCTCACTAATCCAATAATTCATGAATATTCTTATGTATCGTTTGATCATCGAAATAAAAATGCAAAAATTAGAATGAAAATTAGAGAATCGAAATGATATTTATATTTTTTATACTATATTTAGAATACCAATAAGAAATCAAAATACAATTTAAATTTTTTAATATCTGATTTTTTATAAAAATAAAAATAATGATTAAAAAAATAATTTTATCAAATTATAATGATTGTAAAAATAATAAAAGTGATAGTGGTAGTGATCATGACAATAGTGGTTATAATGGTGGTGGTAGTTCTAATAGTAAAAATAGTTAATATATAATAAATAAATAAATGTATTATTATTTTGAAAAAAAAATTCATACCTATTTCTTATTTTTATTCCCATATTTTAAATGAGAATAAAGTTGTGTGTAATTTTTATTCTCATTTTCACTATTCGTTCTTATTCCACTTCATTCATTTTAACCAAACAACTATAAAAAAAAAATAAAACTTTTATTTTCATTCCCACTACTCCATTTTTTATAACCAAATAGCACCTTATAGTTTTTTCTTGTCTATTTACTTAATATTTACCATTATTCTTACCTAAATGATCTTACATGATATTATAAAACTCATATTAATTACGAAGACATTTCTTTTTCTTGGATTGAAAAATATATTTAGTCATCTGTATTTTTTTCCCTCTCAATTCTATAGGATTAACCTTCCGTGGTCTTTACGTATTAAAATTGGTAGCCATATAGCATTTCAAATTTTAATTTTGTAAGAGATCTTTACATAAAATCACTTATCAAGAATTTTTATATATAATAAATATCCCTCCTAATTCCTATAAATAGTTAGAGCATCTCCAATGGTGCTTTTTACTTTTAGCTAGCATTTTTAATATAAATAGAGAGTATCATTAATTATATAGATAGAATATCAATACCCTCTCTAATGCTACTCGTATTTAACTCTTTATTTTGATAAAATCTATAAAACCCATAAAAGCTATTGGTGAAGAGGTTGAGTGGCATTGGAAATAGTAATTTTCATTAATAAAATATAAGATAAAGAGTCATTTGGACTCTCTAGTATTGGAGAGCCAAAGACACTCTTTATACTAATTTTAAAGATAAAGATTGTGATAAAGAGAGCATTGGAGATGAAATTTGGATCAAACCTCTTTATTATAAAGAAAAATCTTAATATAAAGAGAGCATTGGAGATGAAATTTGGATCAAACATCTTTATTATAAAGAAAAATCTTAATATTAAGAGAGCATTGGAGATGCTCTTATATCGAGTAACAACAAAAATATAATGTAAAAGGTATCATAATTATTACAGCCTTTCAAGACATTGGACGGAGGCATTCGATCACAACAGGCAAATTCTACAGCGTCTTTTAAGCCCATGCCTTGGTACTTTTTTCATAACAATCCCAAAATTTGTGAAACGGTTTTACTGTAATTTTTCTTTTTCTTTTTTTAACAGATCTGTATATTTCACCAAACAATTCAATTAGAAATCAAGAGTTTGAGGCATTGAACATGAGGGAATTGAATTCTATAAGTTATGATTGGAACCAATTATGTTCCAAATATTCAAGTTGATACCCCTTTTCCAAAGGCGCCTTAAAAAGGACACATACTAACATCATCACGAAAGAAAGAGTGGGAGAAGGCATATAAACGAGGATTGTGCTGTGGCAAGTAAAGAAGAACCTAAAAGGTGCTAGAGCAAAGGAGCAAATTATTTTAGTTCCCAAACAAATTAATCAGTCCCTTTTATCTCAAAAATCGTAAATTAATCCTTCGACTTTCCATTGATATTGATATTGATTCATCAATAGATGTGTTGGTTTTTGTGAAAATTTGCAAACTACTCTTGTTATTTGACCTGATATTTTATATTTTCACCAGTAACCATAGAAAATGTCACCACCAACTTTCACCACGTAGCTTCATTGTTGCCTCTATTAGAGGAGGGGTTGCAATTACTGCCTATGTTTTTTTTTCCTTTTTTTTTTACATTGAATTTTATTAAAGGAAATAAAAAAAAGGTTGGAAAAAAAGTCACTAGTCGAATGGATACAGAAAAAAAAAAACACTAAAATAATTAGAGGATTGTTTCACTGGGATTATTATAAAAATTTTATGGAATTTTATTTTCTTATTAAATCTCATGGTGGAAAATATTAGAAATTTAACTGAAAAAAAAAGAATATTTTTGAAATAAAATACTAAACCGGCGAATGCTCAGCACCTCACTAATGGGGGACTCACACAAGGACCCGATTACTAACATAATTAAAAAACGAAGGGAGTAGGTGTATAATTTTCGAGATTAGAGGGATTAACCATATCATTTCGTAACAGCATAAGGACCAATTTATAATTTATTGAAGCAAAAAATCCTACCCGTCCGCCCGTCCGCCTCTTTTATGTAAGAGAGAGAAACCGTATCTATCTAAACTAATAAAACATCTCCAAATCTATGTTTGACCGTCGTACTTTCTTCCTCTCTCTAACTTTTGAACAAGCAGTGGAGCAGTAATCAATTCTCTCTCATCAACTTCGTCATCATCACCGCCTCTCTCTCTCTCTCTTTTATTTATTAATACCAAAAGTAAGGCTTTTCAGCCCTTCTGTTTTTCCCATTGCCAAGAAAAACGATTTTTGTTTTCTTACACTGCCTCAGTTATTATATACCTCGCTTTCTCTCTTCTTCTCTGCCATTAATCATACCTCACACAGATTCAGATTTTGTTTGCTGCTAAACAAAGAGAGAAACCGACCCATATAATTTTTCTTTTTACAGTATTACTACATCTTCCTCTCCTTCTCCTTCTCCTCTTCTCTTTGTTCTTGATTTCGATTATCTGATCGGACGGTCACGATCTTATTTATATTCGCCTGCAAAATCGTACGGCGAGGGATCTTTCTGTTGTCAGCCCCTCTCTTCTTACGTAAGTGCAAAAAAAAAAAATAAACAAATTTGCCTTTTCAGGCCACCTTTCTGTATACTATTTGTTTTTTGTTTTTTTGTTTTTCTTTTTAGCTTTTTTGTCATTTCCATTTTCAATTAAATAAAAATACCAAAACCCATTTCTATAAATTAACAAGACTTTTATTTTATTTTTTCTCTGTCAAGATAAAATAATACTGTATTTATCGTTGCCATTTCGTCTCCGTTTCTTAATCTGTTACATAAATATAAGTGCATAAACTAAACGTAATTGTTTTTGTGTATGTTTATTAGAATTGGGGCGTTTTTTGTTTCCTCATTCAAGGCTTTCTTGATTGCATGCAATGATTCAATTTTGGAGTATTGACATCCAAGTTGTGATTTAGTTCTGTATGAATCGTTTCATGCTTCTTTTGTGAATTTGCTGCTGTAATTTGATGTAATAACCACCATTGAGTTTCTGTAAATTCTACAATGTCTTGAACTGTGGAGATTTCAGAATTACTTGTGCAAACAATAACAATAATCTTTTTTTACTAACATTAAAAAAAGGGTCTTTCGCCCATAAATTTTGGTTTGGTTATAAAGGTGGGGTGTAGTATTATTAAGTTGCATAGTAGTTATACAGGGTGTACTGTTTGGTAGTTACATTACTAACTGCCTCAGTTCTCGTGGGGTCTTATTTTTTGCACTAATTAATTGGTTTTTCTTTTTTTAATCTGTGATTTGCATGTTTTGTAAATTTATTAGCCTTTTAATAAATAAAAAGGGTGTTTATTTCCCTTTATGCCTTAGTTTTGACTACTTTTCTTATTTCTAAACCTGGGACCTTTTTTAAATGATTACTGGGTTTTAATATTATAGCTTGTGTACAAGCTTGATGTGTTCTCTTGAATATGAGATTTGGTTTGGTTCATTCTTTTAAATTTTTTATTTTGAATCCCATTGAGTCTCTGATGGTTAAGCTGTGGCAGATTTTTGAGATTGTGATAGAATTACATGGATTTCATTTCTGGCTTTATTTAGTACAGGGGTTTGAAGTTTCTCAGAAGAGTCTCTTCTATACTCTGCCAAATTTATCCTTGTACAATCAGGCTTCTTAAAAAGAAAAGAAAAGGAAAGGAAAGGAAAGGAAAGAGATGGATAGTTTGAAGAGTTATGGAACACAGCTTAAAGTTTGGATCTTTTTAAGGGTCTTGTTGATCGAAGTTGCTTTATTTTTAGTCAAATAACACGAGGTTATGAAATTGGATATGCTGCTATGAGCTTCTTACTGTTTTTGCTTAATCTTTTGGTGAATTCATTATGCGTATAGAATATCGTTTTTCCGGATGAGAGCTTACACGAAATGGGTTGTGTTCTTATTTAAGAATGTTAACAACGACAGTATTACTTGTAGGGTAATCTGTGGGACCATGCTTTTTTGTAGGATGAGGCGGTTGGTATTATGCTTAATTGCATTTATTGGAATTTCTGAAGTCTCGTACCCTATGTTTTGTAATGCTTTATGTTCCTTGAATCAATAATGTAAGTCATGTGTGGTAGTCCCATCGGAATTGAATTCTATCTGATCTAGCACTCGTAACATTAGAAAAGCAAAACCATAATGTTTAATATGGAATGAGGCCATGAAATGAAAAACAGATCTATCACCATGCAAAAACTTATTGTATGCCTTTAGTCTTCTCATTTAGGAATTTGTATTATTTGTTGTATTGCTCCCAGTTATGGTTTTTACCTTTGTTCGATACCAAAAAGAATATTTAGAATTACATTTGCTGTTTGCTTCTTGAAACTATAGCTGGTTAGTGGAAATCAACTATGAGATATAAAAAATTGCTGATCAATGTTTGAACTCATAACAGACAGAAGTCTTATTAGCTCATCCCTTAATGGGTTCTCTTACATGCAAGTACTGTTGATGTAGTTGTTGCTCTTCTTTTGAGTAGTTATTTCTTGTTTTCTTGCCACTTTCAAGTAAACTAATGTACTGCCACATGCATCAGTTTTTTTTTTTTTCCAATTACTTGCAAGTTTGATTTCCCTCTCCATTGAGGCATTCTCAGTCTCTTACTTGATCTATGATTTTCAGCGAGCAAGTTGCATCTCCTAAGCACTGGCGATCATGGAGTTGAATGGTCAGAAAAGAGGGAGAAGAAAGGACCATTTTGCTCAAACAAATGGTGATTTGGCATTAGCAAGTGTCGGTGATGTTGATCCCTGGACTGCATGGGCATATAAGCCTCGCACTATTTCGTTGTTACTTATTGGTGCTTGCTTTCTAATGTGAGTGTCCTATCAGATGCCTGCTACATTTATGTTTGGTGTATCAAAGTTGGCCAATCAAAATTTGGTATAATAGATGGTAAATTGTAGATGATTGACCTCCTAAGGGTTTCTAGCCTGCCTGAATTGTTGTCTCTTTTTGTATTTATATTTTTGTTTCCCTTCCAGAGCCTGTGGGATCTGTTATTGTCATGGATCTTCTATTGGCCCTCTGTAGGAAAGCATTTATATCTGTTGGTCATTGAAATTGCAAATTGTTCTGTGACTGTATTGGTTTATCCAATGGTTAGTCTCATGGATTCAGAGATGCACTTGTTGCTGTTACAGTTCCTATCATAGGTTCAGAAAGCCACACTAAATCAATTTTCAATTATAAAATGAAATTCTTTTCCTGTATCAAACAGATGGTGATGCTCTTGGTAATTTTAATCATAGGATTTTTGAAGTTTAATCAGAAAATGTTGTCCTTGGTTTCAGATTCTTACTGTGCCTAGTTTGATCGTGTGGATTTGATTTTTCTCAAAGTTATCATGGTTTCTTTTATATTTCGGTTTAATGTATCAAATTTTGTTTTTTCATATGATGGAGCGTTTCTGGAATCTGGTCCGACATTATTTCTTCTTTGCAAATATAAAAGCAATAAGCGTGGCCATATTATGAAGCATGTAACCTGAACTTTTGCATCTTTTTTCCATATTATTAGAGGATGCTTTCTTTTTGTTAAGCTATCAATATTGGATATCAGTAGTTTTCTCTGTTTTAAGTCTTGTCTCTTCTCCGCTTACATTACCTGAATTCAAATGAATGATATTGATGATCTGTGTGTATGCTTCTAATTAGTGTACCCACCCTGGGATGCTTTGAGCTTACCTAAAAACAATCTGCTTGTGTTTTGAGTGTTCGTCTGTTTTTTTAGGTATAGGAGATTGTTTGATGACTGGTTGTTGTCTGTGTAGAAGATGACCATGCATTTATTTAAAACACAGTCATGTGTTACTACTGCAGTTTAAAAGTAATAAAATTCTTCAACAAGTTTTCATTTGTTGTCTCTGTTTGTGATTACTAGATGGGCGAGTGGAGCCCTAGAACCGGAGAGCAGCACATCCGGTGATATTGTTACATCTGTGAAAAGGTTCGGGCATGCCTGTTAATCCAGTGCTTTTGTTTGGGATTGACTATCTTGGTTTTATACTATGAAATGCAAAATTATGTTAAATGCCTCATGTGTGCTATTTCTTGCAGGGGTGTATGGGCAATGATTGCAGTTTTTCTTGGTTATTGCTTGCTACAGGCCCCTTCAACGTAAGTTGCTGGATTGAGTTATCATGAAATTTGGTTTTATGTTGTTACTTGTTATTGAATGTTGAATTATTAAGTATAGGTTATGGTCTATTTTGTCACTTGAAATTTGAGACACGATGCTCAGGATTTAAGTGCTTTACTTATTCATTGGGCTTTAGTGGACCAACAATCTCTGATTATAAAGTTTGCATTTCAGGTAGTTTTATTTTTCAATTTAGCTTGGTTGCCGGCATGATAATTCACATTAGGAAATATCAGAAAAATGTGGGCGCATGAGGACCTAAATTATCTGGCTGGTTCTCAAACTTGTGCAACAAACTATTTAGGTTTAATATGGTTCTCAAGTGAGCTCTTAACATATGCAGATTTGCATTTTCTTGTAGGGTTCTAATAAGGCCACATCCAGCAATTTGGCGCTTAGTTCATGGTTTGGCTATTCTGTATCTTGTTGCCCTCACATTTTTGCTTTTTCAGGTTGGTTTTTATTTTATTTTATATATATATATATATATATATGACAACTTCTCTTTCTTACATGCTTGTGTTAAGCTGTTGCATCTTCACAAATTTGCTTCTCCCGATTTTTCTTTTGTAAAGCTAGCTATTCTCTCATGTGTAAATATACATGATCTGTTTCTGTGTCTTTATATAAATGTGCATGCATGTTTGCAAGGGCATTTGCTCTCACAGAGATAGTTTCCATGTGCATAAACTCTCAACAATTTTATAGTTAAACTAGTTGAAGGCTCATGCTTGTGCGGCTTAACTTTTCAAATTGATCCATCGTTTATAAATTTCACAAACCTATTACTTATGAGTAAAAAAATCTATGGGTGTTTTCATTGGAAACTATTGTATTTTTTTTAATCACAACATCTGAATATTTTAATTAAACATGTATAATCACCATAATATATTTTGCCAAAGATAATATAATTGGAACCTTCCTTTTTTTCAGCTAAAACAATTTCAACCCAGTTTTTCTTTTTTTACTATCTGTATGTCTTTTTATACGAGCTGTGAAACTCTTTAAATAAATTCATCATCCAAATGCAATGTGTATTTTCATTGTTTGCTTTTCCAATTAATGGTCCTTTGAATCTTATCTAAAAAGAATATATATATGTACACACACACACATTAATTTAGATGTTCTTCATTTCTGTGTGTGTTAAAGGATAATTACTGATTGAAGGTTCAAATTTCTTCTTCACAGAAGCGTGATGATGCACGGCAATTTATGAAGTTTCTCCACCCTGACCTTGGAGTTGGTAATGGTTGATAACTCACCATAGCAATTAAAATTCACTATATTAGTTGATGGATCATTCTGTACTGCACTCGCATTACCCTTGGAAGCTGCCTAAAATCTCATTCTCAAGTTTGGTGGGATATTGAAATCTTGCTTGACTATCTTATTTATTATTTGCACTTGTTTATGCAGAACTACCTGAAAGATCATATGGTGCTGATTGTCGCATTTATGTGCCTGAAAATCGTACAAGCAAGTTTAAAAATGTTTTGGTATGATTTCTTTTGATAGAAACCTCTGTGTGTGTGTGTGTGTGTTGAGTGCTTTTTTTTTTTTTTTTTTTTTTTTCGGTTCTAATTAATTACTCTTTTATATTTTTGTTTTTACATTATCTGGATGTAAAATATTTCTATTTTTTTTTTTAATTTCTTTATAGGACACTCTTTTTGATGAATTTGTTCTAGCACATATCTTTGGATGGTGGGGCAAGGCTATATTAATCCGTAATCAGCCACTTTTATGGGTATTGTCAATTGGATTTGAGTTGATGGAGGTTAGTAGCTAGCCAATGCCAATAAACTTCCTTTTGTTATTCCTATCTTTTTCTGGCATCGGTTGTTTTCAGCTTCCTAGTTTCTGAAACATGTCCTTAACTATATGTTCAATCTGCTTGTGACTAACTTTATTACTGGTATTTTCAGTTTACCTTCCGCCACATGCTACCAAACTTCAATGAATGCTGGTGGGACAGTATTATTCTTGATATTTTGATATGCAATTGGTTTGGTGAGAATTCTTAAGCTTGTGCTGCTCGTCTCTCTTTTTTTTTTGTTTTTGCTTTGTCAGACTAACATTTTAAATTGTCATTTTGATGATTTGTAATTGTTTATGAATATAAAGTCTGGTAATTGGAGATTTCAGGTGTTTGAAGAAGTTTTAATGAACAGACATTTTCTAGATGGTTTTTAAATATATATATATATATATATATATATATATAAGATTTGATTGGAGAGAATTCTAGATCACTCAAGCGGTTAAAATTTGGATTTCACCTCAAAGGTCTCAGGTTTTTCAAATCTTTGGAGGAGTGATGTGGGGGTTTAGGGGTTTGAAGAGGGCTACCGTCCATTGTTTAGCCCGTTGGCCTCCCAATGAACCAAAAAAATAAAAAAATAAAAACAACATTACTATCGATCAAATCGAGTGGTAGTTTGCTTGCAGCTGATCTCAGTATGTCTTCGCAAAACATTTAACCTCCATTTAAATGTCTCACTGATTTAGGGTTGACAACATGTCAGTTGGGGTTGAATTTCTTAAACTGGTACGCATGTTCTTCTGCAGTATTTGACCATGTAGTGCACAGGTTGGAAAGCATAAACCTTGATGTGATACATGTCAAATCCACATCCACTCATAACTGAAGTGTTGTGTTAGGCCATTTAATTAATTGGCAATTTTTAAGGAATTATTGTTAGTTATCATGTTATCTTGATAGCAAAATCTTTCCAGAGTTTAGTATGATGATCAGTCAAGTGCGGATGGAACCTGTATGAGCTCGACCATTGAGTGGTTCAAAGATGCAGTTTTAACATTATATAAATGAGTAGAAAACTTGATTCTACCTTCAAAATAGTCGATGATTCAGTGGCGTGGTTGAAGTTTCTAAATTTTTTAGTTCATGGATATGTTGAAGTCACTTGATATGGTCTCTAGAAGTTTAGGCGTTGAGTATTTGATGGAACATAACCGTATGGCTGTTGCTTCAAATATTTGTGTAACTGAAAGACCATATAACTGATGTACAACACATCCTGAATGTCTATGTGGCAGCTGTGAAATGTTCTGCCTTTCCAACCAAAACTAATATTAAGTTTGACTTAATCCTGGGCTTTAAATGCACCACTATAGTACGACTAGCATCTTTTGAAGCTGTTGCATGCAATATTTTGGTCATTTAAAGTAGTTTGTGCTGAAGAGTTCACAAGAAAATCAATGTGTAATGTTTTTGAAAGTTTGGTTTGTCATTTTAATTATTTCATTGTAGCTTTTCATGACCTTTTCTGTTGGATGCTTTGTAGGCATTTGGGCTGGAATGAACACGGTCAGGTATTTTGATGGAAAAACTTATGAGTGGGTTGGTATAAGTCGCCAACCTAACATCATGGGCAAGGTATGCTTGGAAATTTTATTATTCTGTTGCCCGTTTTCTGGTTCAGCGTCATCTATAATGTACACTTCTACTTGCTAGTAGTAGTACTATGGCAATATCAGGCCTGTCATTTGGGCTGCGAGCAATTTATTTGTCAAAAGGAATTTTTAAGAGACCTTTGAAAATATTATTCATGGTAGGCCAACAATTTCCACCCCCTTGAGGATAGAAAAGTAGGTCAATTAAAATTATTATGAGAAACAATTTGCGCCTTTGTACTGGATGAAAAGAACTCTTTTACCTGACTGTATCCTCCTTAATATATCTGTAGAAGAGTTTTTGTTATTACTTTTTCTGTTTTATCAGTGAACTATGGACTTAACAACTTAGTTCCTTTGTGTCTGTTTTTGACATTATTTAGTTGCAAATACAATATTCTCTCTGAATACAAACCAGAAATTAGTACATGCCATTTGAATTTCAAACTTTTTTCCCTCTCTTATTTGGTCATCCTTACCGTTCCTCACTTTCGCTCTTTTCTTCCTTCTTTCTTACTGTGGCTTGCAAATTTGATCTTAGTTCAAATAATTTTCGTATGATGAAAATATTGTTGCAGTGGTAATAAATACTGATGCATGATTTGTAACCATGCAACTGTGACTGCTTCCTTATCAGGTCAAACGAACACTGGGACAATTTACACCAGCACAGTGGGACAAAGATGAATGGCATCCCTTGCTTGGCCCATGGCGGTTTATCCAAGTTCTTAGTCTTTGTATTGTCTTCCTGACAGTAGAGCTTAACACATTCTTTTTGAAGTTTTGTCTTTGGGTTCCTCCTCGAAACCCTGTGATAGTGTACAGGTTGATCTTGTGGTGGCTAATTGCCATACCTACTACACGTGAATATAATTCGTATCTCCAAGACCGGTATTTATCCCTTTCTCCCTCTCCCAATATTTTTCTGCTGGTTTTATGGAGGATTTTCAATGGCTAAATTACTTGTATGCTTATCCTTGTTGAAATTATGTCAATTTATCAGAAAACCTGTGAAAAAGGTTGGCGCTTTTTGTTGGCTTTCCCTTGCTATTTGCATTGTGGAACTTCTCATTTGCATCAAGTTTGGACATGGTATGTTCTCTATTTATATATTCTTGTTATTCTTTGTTTCCACTTAGCTAAATTATTCAGTATTGGTGAAACAGTAATAAACGATTCTCTTTTAAGCTTGGCCCTATAGCAATGACCTATTGTTTTGATTTCTGCCAGGTCTTTATCCTAAATCAATGCCTGTATGGCTGGTCATCTTCTGGACTTCTGTTGGAGTTGGCCTTGTAATATTCCTGATTATGTGGTCATGGAAAAGTTTGGGAAGAAAGAGACGATGATTTTGCTATCACGGTATACAATTCTTTTATTCCTTAAATGTCCTTATGGGTATCCATCTTGTACATACCCTATCACTTCATGGAATTGTAAATGCTTATTCTCTTAGGTTAGTGGATCACAGTTCTCAATTAGCGTATTCAATTCTTTTATGATAGGTAGTTGGAAAATGCTTCTAACCTATGGGTTGCTAATTTGCAGCATTCATCAAATTGGCATAAAATTTCCAACTTATCTGAGAGTTGAGCAAGTTTTAGCACCCTAAGTTTTCAATGTACTTCACATTTTTTGAGGTCCAATGCAATGCTTGACAATGCCATTGGGGCATTTTATCATAATGTTTAAAATATTTATACAGCCTTTGCTTTGACTCTATAGCATGCTTATAAGCATTGAAAATCTGATTCAACCGAAGTATTAGCACAATTTCACCGACCAATGTAGTCGAAGGATTATTGTTTGTTAAGTTCATCGCAAGCAAGCTGGCAGTTATTCGATACAGTTTTTTGACGTTATGTTTTTCACCTGCTGTAAATCCTATGGTGCAATTTGGCAATTATTCAAGGCATTTTTTTTCCTAGAGTTTTAAGTTTTTCTCACCTGCCGACTGTTGCAAAACCTAGATGCAATGGAGCAAGTGATCGGTGCTCAACATTAGCTTTCTAATCTTTTAGTTTTCTGGAGACAGTTATAGAAGTGGCACTGCGCAAGGTTTACCCGAGCTTCAGGAAAATATTGTGGACTTGAGTATAGATTTAAATGATAGTTATTACGATATGTAACAACGACTTTTTACTAATGGGGTGAGTCATGACCTGCGTCTGCCATTTAAAATTATGGACCCAAAAGAGTCCTTGATTTAATCAATTGAAATAGGAAAATTTTTACTTGTTCTTTGACAGCACTTTTCTTCCGAGTCCATGACAGCGTATGGTTTAGAACAAATGTATGTATTATGTATCTGGAAATGAAAACAAGAGCTCTCTCTGGATCGATTACGCAGGATTTTGGTTTTTGGCAATCAATAAGCTCATGGCATATAATATCAATCTTCTTCTTTCAGAACAAATACTTGAATTTATTAAACCACAAGATAGATTCTGTACACAATTTACTTGATAGAAGACTCCTTCCCTTTTCTGCACAACGAGACGAAGAATAAATAACTTTTTTTTTTTGTTGGTGTTTTTTAAATATTTTATAATTACATCACTCTTTTTACTTAAAATAATAATTTCTCTTGCTTCATACAGGCAGAGATGGAACTTCGAATTAGTCTTTTCGACACAACATAAATGTACTTTGTGGCAGTCGTGTCCATGTACATGGGGGTTATTTGAATGAAGACAGTCCTTGATTCTTCTTGCCACCTTCCCAGAACCACACTTCATACCAGTGGCACCTTTATTTGGATCTCCATTCAGCTCCTATTAAAAACAGGATAAACAGGATAAGAATGTCGAAAGATTGGAAATATGGGAGCACTTTTTTTTCAATGTGGGTACGCATTTCACTGGATTGTTCTTAGAGCATGCCCTTATTGAATCGAGGATGTTTCTCTCACCCAGTGACGTTCAACAAGGATCTGCTTGCAAAATCCCTCAGGAAATGCTTTTTATTAAATGGGAAATGGCATATTAGACAGCTCAATATTAGATTGCTTTTTCTTCCATATGGTTTTGCCTCTAACAATCTCTTCGTTTTGAGTCTCTCCTTGGGTTTGAAGGAGGTGTGTATATTTTAGAGGGACATTGTCCAAGGATCCTATTAGTCCGTTGCCTTCCATGATTTCTGAGGCCAAAGAGAACCTATTGAGTGGGCTCATGTCGTTGTTTTGGTTTAAAGCACTATTAAGGATTCCATCCTCGTCGGGCTCACAGAGTGATTGAACTGTATTTGAACTCCCACATTCCCTTCTGTACTCTAAAATGATACCGGAAAGTTGCTGAGACTCCAAAAACTGGTCAGGGATAGTCTGTAGATAAAAGTAATGAAAAACATGTCAAGAAGGTTTCCAATATGAGTTGATCAGAGAGATGGCAGGGTTTGTTGTTTTACCTCCAACATCCATCGGACGTACTTCACATTGTTGACATGTTGGTTCATGTCCAAATCACTCCTCTTGGGCTAAAGATCAGAAACCAGGATAGTTGTTAGTATATGTATATGGTGCTTTAGCTGTATCATTTGCTTTTGAAGTTTGGTTTTGTGAAATTCACCTTCAAGTTAGAGTTCACATATTTTGCTTTGCTGTCCAACTTGGAGATTTTCTCAGGGACATCTTCTTGGATAGCTTGTTTCTCTATAAACCAAGGTGAGATTTCAGCCCTGACCTCCTCTGGCATCTTTGAGAGGCGCCTTGTGTTTTCGTTCATCATTACCCAAGTGCTGTTTTGAAATTGAAGTTGTAAGTACAGGACGATCAAATTAGAGGACGATTTAGAGAGATTATTATTGAGTTATGAAATCAACCTTGTTGCACGTGCAAAGACATGGCCTGTTGCTTGGCTTCGAATGAGCCAGTCTCTCCGCATTCCATTCTTCCCTGATGCTCCAACCCATGTGTCGATTTCAACTATCTCTCCCCTGCAAGACATGTTCATCTACTCATTAATCATGACTAGTCGCTTTGCTACAAGACGGTAATTTACATGTTAGAAAGAGAGTCCTTGTCAATGTCAAATATAGTGAAATCTTAAGGCTGTTTCTGTGGTGAAAAACCTGTAGCTTACATCATAAAGGAACTGAAACAGCAATAGGAAGTTTCCGTCCATGGTAACTTGTTTAATTTAAGATTAGCTTTGTCATTTGTGGGATTTAAAATTTTAAAAATCTCACTCCCCAAACTCTGAACCCTAAATCACAGGAGTAGCTAAAAATATGTCTAGTTCTGCTTCCAAACTATACGCGAAGCAGGGGAATGAGTCTTTGATAGATATATATTTTTTAACAGGGGAATGCCATCGATTATGATAGAAATCCTATTTACAGTTTTCTGTTGTTATGTGTAAACACTTATAGGACCGAGGCTTTACATACAAACTGCTGATTTGATGATCAGATAACCATGCAAACATTTGTTAACCACCGGGGAAGTTTAGCCTACAGATACTTTCCATTTATTTTTATTTCTATATATTAAGCTTCTCTAAACATGTTTTCCTAATGTTCATTGTGTGGTTAATGATAAGAGGATCTACCAGATAGGGTACTGATCCACTTGGACTTGCATTCTTGAGACAACCCATATGAGATTGTTCTTCACCATTCCATGTGTGGCACCAAATCCATTGCTGAGAAGTCCCGACATCCATACATGATTCAATGCCGTTTCCTACATACTTGGGAACAATTTTAAGAGTACAATTGACGTTTCATAAGAATTCCCATCAGTGTGGCACAAAGCACAGCTCGTTTTATGCATGGGATGGGATGGATAAATACGTAACAAGTTGAGTTTGTGATTACCTGAAGAAGATTAAGGATGCTCTCGAGCGTAGCAGTTTTATCAGCACCAACTTCATAAGACCTAATAACAACGGTCTGTCTGTACACAACATCATCTTCGACGATGAGGCCTTGCCGATGATAATCAACAAACTGCTTCTTTGTCGGTATGTTTTGGCGTATCAGCTCTTTGGAGATGTGGCCATTTTCGACAGAAGCAACCGAGGTTGTTACCGCCACAGCAGTTTGGCTAAGTATATCAACTTTAACGGACCTGGTAGGAGTCCCAGTAATTTTGATTTTGTTTAGGTTTTGCTTCTTAGGATCTTGGTTGTTACTGCCGGTAGAACACCTGAGAGGCAAGGGGATCGTATAAGAGAAAGAAGCCATTTGTATTTTTCTCTATGTAAATGCGGAAATTTTTGAACGAAATGGATACTGAAATGCATTTATAGAATCAATGTAGCGGAGTCTTCAAGGGAAATTTTTGAACTTTTTAGGATGATTTTTTTCAGCCTTGTTATAGAACTATTGAACATATCAAAGAGGGCCTCGTCTCTGCAGAAAGAAAATTTTAGCCAGGGTATTTTTAGTAGTGATCGACCTGTACTGAAGCAGACAAAAGGGCTAATTTGGATTTGGCTATTATTATTTTATTAATCAGGTGTAATAAAAAACTTATGAGCAAATTTCTGCAACGTTTGGGAGTTATACTGTCCCTAGAAGTTGGGCCTCATAGTTTGTCAACTTTCGAGCAGGACGAAGGATTTGGTAGGAGTGGACGTACAAATTCCATTTCTTTCTCTTTCTCTGTGAATATGTAGAAACAAATTATTAGAACCTTTGACTGCGAGTTAAAAGAGAAGTCGCCTTTTCTGCTCAGAATTTCTCGTTACCAAACATTCTTAATTTCAACAGTTATCATTGGCTTTGTATGCCAAGAGCGGTGAGCCTGCAAGATAGGAAGTAGAAGTGTTAGCATTCAACCTCGTGTGTGGAGGGAAGCAATCAAAGGATATTCTCTATTTAGTCTGCTTTCCTTGTTTTAGGAAAGGAACCAAGTATGGAGAACATCATTCACTAACTTTTTTAAAGAAAACCAACCAAATTTTTTGCCTCGTGAAAAATAATTATGAGGTGAAATTGGGTTTGATTTGATAGTTATTGAAACTTGATTTATTCCATTGTTGATCAGCAAAGTTTTTGTAGCATATTACTGAGTTTCATTAGACAACAATATGATGCAGAGATAGACCATGTTAATCAAAGATTGTATCTTTCGGAATGTTAGTACCGCTACTTATCGTTCTTGGCTGTGACTTTGGTATAAGCTAATTTAATACCCACATCTCCTCTGGCAAGGGGGTTGTAAGCTACCAAGAAAAAAAAACCAGCAATATGCGTGAGCACAAATACTAGATAGATTCTAACATTGCGAGGCAACCGCTGAATCTATTTTCAGTCACCAAGAACAGAACCATGAAATCGCCCTTAAGAGAGGATGTTGAGTTGGTTTTTCAGGATCCATAACACTATTGTTTCTTTGCATGATCATAGCCATTTCCATTGAGACTAAAAATCTGTTTATAATTATTTAAAACTAACAAATAAGTTATTAGTACGTATAGTTAAAATATTCATTATGTAATTAACCAAATAAACAGCTATGATGTGATTGTATAACGAACGGAATTATTTTAAGCTACGCAATAATTGTATTGCTAGTTTATCCAAAATAAACAGCTATCATCTTCAACTTAATTACGATTCTCACATTGAAATTAGTATATCAACATAATAAATAAGAGAATTGCATGGTATAATATTCTATAAAGTAAAAAAAAAAAGCACTTTCAAGTTTTATTGTCTTGGATGCACATGCATAATTGCATGAGCAATATTAGTAATTATAAAAGCTAAAAAAACTAGGATAGAGCAATATTTCTTTGTTCAGTACAAAGTTGTCATAGATTAGGGGTCTATAAAAGTTTATAAAAAAAAAAAAAAGAACTAAAAGAAACAAGTTTGATGGAAAAATCATATCAAAGCATCTCAATATGCAATTCATTTTTCTTACAAGAAAAAATTGATTTAACGAAATAATTGGCTATCTAAATTTAAAATATACGGTGGTAATGATAAAGAAAAAAATGGTATACAGTATACGGAGAACAATATAAATATAAGAAATTAGAATAAAAAACATTATAGGAAACATATTATTAATACATAACAATACATGAAATATACATGAAAGAGAAAACATGGCCTAATTAACGATATAGGAAATTGTACAATAAAAAAAAAAAAACATTTTAGGAAATGGTCAGCGTGGAGCAAATGACGTCGTTTAATTACTTGTGCTATAAATAAGCCTGATAGACAAAGTGTCTTTTAAGCCCAAATTAAACCTCCAAATCCAAAACCAATAAGAATCCCTTTCTTTCTGTTTCCCTTTTGATCAGATAACTCTCCAAAAGTCATTTTTATTTCAGTTTGGAAAGCTAGAAATTAAATTTGTTGCCAAAATATTACGTTTATTAATTTTATCAGCTGCAAACCCAACTTTCTCTTCCTGCAACTGGAGAGTTAACTTTTTTGAACTGATTTCCAATAAATTTCTGCGCTGAGGCTATTTCCTTGAATGCACTGACCACTTCAAAAAATGGTTACATTTCATTGAAGTTTCAGGAAGTAGACAAACCAAGGAAAATAAAGTTCGGTTTCTTTTTAAAATTTCAGTAATATAATTTGTAAATTTCTAAATAGTCAGTAAAAAATCGTGGCCTATAGTTATGATTTTTATTTTCTGAACAAGGACATTTTGTACCTCTATATGTTGGATTAGGGCATTGTGCTTGATGGTGAGATATTGGATTCTTGTACCTCTACATGTTGTTATCACTATCACCATCAATTTCATTGGTTTACACAATTTATTTGAAAATTGATGTCGTTCACACTACAGAAGAAAACGTTAGTATCACTTCGAGATTTCAGGTAGTATGAGTTCTCCGAACTGTTCAAACATCAAATTGATCCAAACAAAATAATAATTAAGTTGGAGCCCTGGTAGAAAAGAGAGGCAAGGGAATATTTGGGCAAGCAAATCATTCTCCCACAATTAAAATCTCCACTGCTCGTCTATCATTCTCCCGTTCCACTAAAGTGTAGCTTGTATGCTATAATCTGTTAAAAAAAAAAAGTCTCCAAATTTGCTTGATGATATGCTCAAGGGAAATAAGCTACCTCCAATGGTGATCTTTCTACCTTTCCTCAGAAAGATAATTTGGAAAAAACATAATTTTTTATGACATATTCTTAGCTAGGATTAGACTAAATTCAGTATCTTTTTTCGAAGTTGATGTTTCTAGATGATTGTTATCTTTTAAAAAACATAACCAATTCCTTATTTCGGAACCTATAAATCCAATGTCCTTTTGAAGTTTCCTAATTTCCTTTAATATTAGGTGGCAACTCTAAAAAATTTTTCTTCATTCTTTTTCCCTTTTTCAAACAAACATAGAATTTTTGAAAGTTCCTTAAGTATCGAGTAGCAACAACATGAGATGAACTCTTCATCACACGTGGATCTTTTTTTAAAAAAACAAATAGACAAGGATGCATTGCTTACACCGGGAAGCTATGTGAGCAATGCGTCATCCACCTACAACTTCGGCAAACTCAAGTTCGCCGGAATCGTCTCCAAAGAATCAAAAGTCTAGTTCCAACTTTATACTTGAAGACCAACTCATTGAAAACTTAGATAATGGTAAGAAGCTTAAGAACTTGCCATTTTCTACTTTTGTTTATTCAATAATTAGTTGTGTTTGATGTTTTGAATAATTAATAAGATAAACTTAATGGATTGGTTGGATATTGAAGATATGACAAGCACATTAAAGGTATCTTACTCGGTCATATTGGATTTTACGTATATCGAGACTATGTATAATTTGAATTTTTTTATTGAGACTCTAAGTTTTTTTTATCCAATTTAAGAGTTCTACTCTTATATTGTTGATGTTTCGATCATAATGTGCCATGTAAGCACACATTGGAAGTTCTAGCTAATGATAGCTTACCACGTGTCATAGTGGATCCAAATTTAGTTTTAACAAAAATAAAAACTTTCGACGAATTTTAAATAACTAAAAAAATAATAAACTTCAAAAATAGGTTAGGAAAATACAATTCAATCCTTACCCACTAAAACTAAAAATCAAGATTACGGTTTAGGGTTTATTAAATAAAAAAATATATATACTGTAAAAGGTGCGGTATAATTTTCAAGAAAATTTATTATTCGAGAAATACAAGATCGCCGGTATTCTCTCTTTTATGATCCGGATGTTTTTACGGAGGTTGCTTTTCACAAGACCGAGTTTGAGTAATCTACATCAAATCTTCAATCAAAATTTAATAGAACTCGGAAATTCAAAAGAAAATAAATGTTTTTTGAGAAAGAGGAAAACCAAAAGTGTTCGTAGTTGTTACTATGCTCGCGTAAAAGAATTTATAATTCACCATTTACCTCCATAGATTTGAGTTTTCTTGTTGCCCCTAATAATAATAATTATGTTCACAATGGATATGAGCAATTATCCGGACAATGCATGATTGGAGATCCAATTATGAATCACTTTGTACTTCAAGAATCTAATTTAGACATCATGCTTTTTCCATAAATTGCAAATGGTGGTACTACCCATGCCCTTGATACTCAATTTTAGAATACGAGTTTAAGAAGACTGTTCAATAGAGCAAGACAATATACATGAACACACCACTTATATTCTTGGAGAGGATTTGTTTAACATTGAAAAAGAGAACTGTGGTCGAGGAATTCGATCAACAATTGCTAATGAATGATGATCTAGTATATGGGTGCTCTAACTTTGATGAAAAAGAAGTCCTTCGTTCACCAATTCCGAGTATGGCCCGTCATTTCTCAATTTGGAGTACCCATCTCCACTTTCTAAGATGCCAATGTGGAGAATGGACGAAGGGATTTCAATGCCTAATATTCCAAATAATCTTAGATTATATGACAAAGATATGCACCCTAGAGATGCCTTTTCACTTCTTAATGACAATGATATTAAGAATACATGTTCAACAAGACATGATGATCTCCATAAAGACTTGGATTTAAAAATGGAAATACTCGAGTGATGTGCCAAAAAATTCATCTCACAAAATAAAAGATTTTCCGATCGAACTTACCATAAAATTCATCTCACAATAGAAAAAGAAAAAGAGAGGAAAGGTTAAAGGGGAAATGAGAATTAGGGTTTATAATTTGAAAATTAAGGATTGGATATTAGGGTTTGAAATTTAGGAATTAGAGATTGTAAGTTTTGATTACGGATCGAAGAAGGAGAAAAGAGAAAAAAGCTGAAACGAATAAGAGAGAAGAGGATTTTTAGTTTTGGTGGATAAGGGTTGAATTGTATTTTCTTAACCTATTTTTAGGTTTATTATTTGTTTAGTTATTTAAAATTCATCATAATTTTTTTTTATTTATTAAAACCTAATTTGGGCTCACCATGACACATGGTAAGCTATCATTGCCTAGAGCTTAGAGCTTGCCATGTGTACTCATGTGACATATTAAGGTCTAAAACAATAACAACATAAAAGTAAAACTCTTAAATTGAAAAAAAAATTGAATTGTACAGGTTTTTAACATACACAAAACCCCATCCATATTAATTATTAAAGTTATATTCGAGTTTTTAATTTTCCTATCATTTTCATTGTTTGGTTATTCATACTCATGTGTTTAAAAGATTATTGGATTTCTCATTTGTGTCGATATGGAGAAATAAGCATTATTTTGGTTAGATTCGGTAAGATATTCTAGTTATCATATTGAAAGGAAAATAATTTCAGAGTGGGTTATCAAGTACCTACTACCAAAATTGGGTTTTAATGATCCACAACAATGGCAATTTCAACCACTTTCGGATATTCCTTACCAAACAAAGTAAGTGGCTACAAATTTTCACAATAACATTCAAAATGATTTTCAATTATACTAGATAGTGACTAATGTATTTTTTTGCTCCTCATTAGATTTGATTATGGTATATTTGAAGTATGGTGATTGTCTTGTATATGGAGATCATTTTCCTTTTACCCAAACGGACATGCCTCACTTTTGGCGTCAAGTTTTTTCGACATTTACTTGTGGAAGATTACCTATTGTTGTTCCTACTTTGGTAACCTTTTATGGCCTTTCAAATATATAAATACTTTTTGTATTTAAGCCGACTACCTTTATTTATTTATTTTTATTTTACTAGTCTAATATAGGGGTGATCAAACGGTTCGATTAATCAAAAACTGAATTAAATCGAATCGAATTATGAAATTTGATTTGGGTATAAATTAAAAAATGTATAATTTATAGCCGAATCGAAAAAACTAAAATAATTTCGATTCGGTTCGGTTTTTTTTTTTAAGAAATTGTTTGAACCGAAAATCATTTTTTTTATTATTATTCCTAATTCTAATTTCTAAATACCTAAGAATAACCAAATATGATCTAATCATCTAACCCTAACTCGGTAACTCCCTCTCCGCATTCGGCTCTCCCCGTCTCCCTTAGCCGCCTTTTTCGACTTTCCTTTCCTTTCGAGGTAGACGAAGTCACACGAGTAGCTAGCGTCGCCGCCCGAGCATTCCGACGAAGCTTGCCGGCAGGAGTAAACTCAATTACTCTTGTTCTCGTTTCTCGCACTCTCAACACAAGTCTCGGACTCTCGGCCTTTCACCGACTCACGGTCTCACGAGTCACGATTCTCACTCTCGACCTTTCACGGATCTCGCACTCTCAAAGTCTCACTTTTCTTCTCCCGTTCTTCACTCTCCACTCCAGAGTGACGGTGAGTCCAGGTCCTATTTCGAGTTCCAAAGTTCTAGTCCTCCAAGCTCCAATGCTCTTCTAATCTTCCTTCGTCAAGCTTCGTGTCTTTCAAGGTTAGTCTCTTTTATTTATTTATTTATTTTTTTATCGATATGTGATAACAACAATGTATTGGGCATAGATTAAGTTGTTTTTTAGATTCCTTAGTGAGTTGTGATAACCGATATGCTTTGTTCCGCACTATGGTGTTGTCTTGGAAACCTTATTTTGAAATATTTATTGTGTTCTGTTGGCATCCGTTTTCCTTTACGGTTGCTTGGAGTCCGTGATTCCGCATTTTATTTGCGTTAGTCCGGTTATCAAGCTCGTGTTTTGGTTTCGGTTGGGGTGAGGGTGAAGATTTGTTCATGTCTAACTCCTATTTTCTTTTCTCTTCTTTTAATTCTTTGTTTGTTTCTAGCATTTTTTTCTATTTTTTTAATCGATCCTTGCATTAGAGCGTATGTATGATCAATATTCAATACAATTGAACCGATTTGCTTTTTCTATGATTTACACACATATATGATCATTATAATTGAACTGATCCTTGTATTAGAGTATTCTATCATTCATGCTTTTCATAGCAACGAGTTTATATTTTTCTCGAAGAAATAGTGATATCCTCACTCGTTAAATGTTAATAAAAGTAAATGTTTGCAACAGATGAAATGAGAATGCGAAAACAATAGATCGACAGATCGACATCCTAGCAGTGAGATCCACTTATCCACACATTAATAGAGGCGGTGATGAAACCATGTAGAGGGCGGGAATTGGGAAGCTTGGCAACAATCAATAAGGCAATAAATGGATGTCTAGAAATATGGAATCGGTTGAAAGGAAAGACTAAAGAGCACGTAAGGATGTGAATGGTAGTCGTTAGGGAAGGAGTTCCGTTAAGGAGGGAGTTGAGTTAGTTAGCTAACGTGGAAAGAGTTGGTTATGGCTGTTAGATTGAGAGGGAAAGTTAGTTAGAAAGAAACACTATATAAATCATGAGTAATTCATTGTAAAAGAGCTATTCTGCCATTTTAGATCAATATTGAATTTACTCTTCTTTCGATTTCTCTCGTTTATTACTTTATTTTTTGTTCTTCTAGGTTCTTGATTTACATATCTAATTCTAAAATTGATAATTGTTAAAATCTTTAATCGTTGTTAATCTTCATTTAGTCTTAAAAGAATTATTAGAACTCGTAATTCATTATTTCATTTAGAATTTGGTATCACACAAGTAAAACTAAGCTAAATTCTTGTCCACAAAGAATCATTAGAACCCATAATTCATTATTCCATTTTGAATTATTGTTTTTTTAGATATTTTTTAGGTTTGCGGATATGTGTAGGACGATTGCCTATTAATCTATTACATCGTATATGGTGCTTTATATACTTATCAAAATACCTATAATATTGTACGGACTTTTAGGACCGACCAATGAATTTGTTGAAACATCATTGCTTTCACAAGTTTCGCAAGTTCTAAAAAGGAACTAGTGATTATTTTTGTTTATGCCTATTTGTTACTGTAGGTCGTGTGATGCATGTTCAAGCATGAGAGATTAGTCTTATTGTTATGCTTAGATGTTTGGTTTATTAGCACTTGCTCAATGCCTATACATATTCTTGTTGCATGAAATTACGGAATTATCCATTAATAATCGTAATCTCATGGACATGTATGTGATTTTTCGGATGTCGTGGGTTAAAGATGACACTTTAGCAACAAAGGAAACCATCAACCGAGTGATTAATCGGTTGAGGGACTTTAAGAGCGAGTTAGCATCCAATTTCCGGTCATCAATCATGTCATCCTTGGAACCTTCTCGTCGAATGTTTTGGAACTTTCATTGTTGTCTTAGTTGACTATCTTGGAACTTTCATTGTCGTCTTAGTTTACAAATGACTTGCAAACCATTTTAGGATGTACTATTATATTTTTTTTAATAGTAAATTAGTTTCGATACCATAAAAATAAAAATCTTTCACAGGAATAAAAGTTTGGTTATAACCGAATTATTTCGATACCGAACTGAAATAATTCGATTACAAACTCGAATTAACCGAATTTAGTTTGGTTTGATTTTGGTTTTCATTTTTCCTAATTTGGTTAACCAAAAACCAAACCGAATTAAGCTTAACCGAACCGTTTGCTCACCCTTAGTCTAATACTTGTTTTTATGACTGACTAAAGTAGTTATCTTGCCTAGAGAAACTATATCCATTAAAATTATCTTTTAGTTATGATTTTATTTTCTCTCCTTCTTGACTACTTCCTACTCTTGCTTATAAAACAAAACTACAATAAACAATAAGTGGTGTTTTGGAAGCAAAAATATCAAAAAAAAAAAAAAAAAAAACGAGTAGGCAAATAAAAAAAACCAATAACAATAACTTTATCTAGCCTATCTATCTAAAAGACTAGAAGCTATTTTTTCTAGTTTTAAATACCTCAAAATTAGTCCTTCAACTATTACTAAATTATTGATATAGCTCTTAGACTACTAACCTTCACCAATTTTTTTAAAAAGTAGTAGTTTAAGTGCTACATCAAGAATCTAGTAATAGTTGAGGGACTAATTTTAAGGTTTTTAAAATTAGAACAAAGGATTGTACTCTTCAAAAATCAATTTGTGCTAAATTAACACTTATATGTTGATTTTTGGCTCTAGCTAACTATAATCAAATAACTCTTAATTGCATTTGGGAAAAAAGTTAAGAAAGTTAGGATGACATCTAAGACATTTGTTCTCAAACATAATTTTACCAATTATGCCATGTTTTGCTTTAACATGAGAAAATGTTTTTCTTCCTCTCGCCTTGTCTATATGTTTACTTGTATGTGCTTTAACATTGTGCTATGATAGTGTATACTATCCGAGACTATACAATAAGCATATCACACATATCCCATAAAGTTTATATAAACTATTACTTAATTGTTTTTCAATAGGAAGTCAAAGAATTAAATGTTGCAGTTGAACATAGTGTTATACATTTGTACCCTATGGCTTTATTTTAGTAACAAATTCACAAGATACCATTTTAAGTCAATAACCAAATTTTTATTTGATCTTGTGTTATGCTATTATGCTCGTTTAGTTGCCTTTACTTAGAATTCTTGAGTCTTACATAATACCACGTGATTAACTCGACTTTAATGTTTTTATGACTTGATGATCAGTTGTTCTTAGTAGGTATTTATTTGGTTGCTTTTTTTTTTTACTCTTTTTGTCCATGGCCTAGAGGTTACCATCAAAGTTGTTAATCCAATAGAATTGTTTTATTTGACAACAACTTGAAATGATTATTGAAATTTGTAACAACAATTAGGAATATTATCCGATCGGATTCCATAAACTAAATATGGTCATCAAATCACAAAAAATATTGCAAAGATTGGTTGAAGAGGAGGACAATCTTATTCTAAGCATAAATCCATTTATTATGAGCTAAGTAAATTATTACATAGTTATGTAACTTTTATTTATTTATTTTGATTTGATCTAGCATAGTTATATCTTTAACCTATAGTAACAAAATGAAATGGAACATTCCTAGTCTTATATATTTGACTTATAAGTTTCATTTCATTTTTGTTACTATAAGGATGTATGATTATGGATATATAAATGTATCTCTTGATTCCTATGCAGTTTGTACTTTATTAATTCTATTTACATTTAAATATAGTGAGAATATTTTGAACGTGGTATTGAAGGAAAAATCATAATCCAGGAAATAAACATGCAATGCATAAACTAAGGATGGTAATGGACAAGTATATGAATGTAATAACCTAAAAAAAAATTCGAATCGGTATAAATAAGGGCGATGAATCGCCCCTTCTAGAATTTTCCTTTCCTCTTCTTCTCCCTCTTCATGCATTTCTCTTCCATTTTCTCCCAACTTTCTTCTTTAATGCCTAGCTAATTCCTTGTTAAATTAGCTTAGGAAAACCATACATTAGAAGATTTAAAGTCGAGTTTAACTAGCTTGGAGCTTAGGAAGCTTGGAGAGGCGGGATTGACTTAGGATTTGAAGAGCAAACTATGAAGGTAAGATTTATGATTAATTAATCTTTGAATTGAGATGTTTATGTGTGATTGTTGATGATATTAAAAGGCAATTGCTTTGGGTTTAGTGAATGCTTAAGGAATTGATTAGAATAAGGTTAGGGCTTTGAGACCCATTTGGGGAAAAAGATGATTTTAAGTGATTATAATGACTTGAATGATGTTTAATTACATTGGGTAAGCGAATTAAGAAGTTAATTTGAGGTGGAATTAAATGAATTTGAGAAATTGAGAGGTTGAAGATGATGAATAGTGAAAATTTTGAAAATTAGGGAAAATGATGATTTAAGTCATAAAAGTATAATTAGAGATAAATGAAATGATTGTTGGATAAATTAGGATAGAATTGATTATCTAATAAAGGATTGATTAATTAAATGTATGAATTGAAAATTCATGATTTAATTAAGAATTGGTGATAATGGAATTTAGTTAAGCAATGGATTAAAGTTATTAGAGAGATAGTAGAGTCTAATTAAGATTATCAATTTTCATCTTTCGATCAATTTTATTTTGTTGATCATCTTGTATTCTTGTTTCAAGAATAATTCATTGTTTTGAATTATCTTTTGATGTATGGTATTGATGTATGTTTCATCATTTTGTGATGCTAAATTCTTCGACGTGGGCGACTCCATCACAACCTTGATTCCGTTCGATTCTTCGTTTGTACTTGTGAGTAGATATTATATAATGTATTGTGTTTTAAATTTCTTGATTTTGTTCATCATACACCATTGATTTAAGAATGATTTAAAAGCATTCCACTAGAACTTAGAAGGGAATGAATCCTATAAATTTTGAAATGATTTCATATCAAAATGATTTTATATGAATTAGAAAAAAAGATTTGAATATGTGTTTGAATAAATGTCTTGTTAGAATTGATATATGTGATTTCGAATTTGAATGAATGTGTTATATTCGTTATTTTGAATATCCATATAATTTTTAAAAATGAATGCATGGTATTTGAAATATCGATTTGAAAAATACATAAGTATTTTTAATTTTTGAAAATCTTTTCAAGATCATGGGAAAACTAGCTACCGGAGATAGCCTTTGAGCTCGATAATACGAGGCTCCGGCTAGCGAGAAGAGGTATAGTGCTTGCTCGTCCGTTAGCCAACATACAAAAACCTAGTCATGGAAGGCATAACCTTTGGGTGTTTGCATCCAATGGTACGTTATTACCCTCACGGGTGTATAAAAACCTATATATGAGATTTCGTATGAATATGATATATGTATGATAAGTGTTTCGATGATTTGATGCAAAATGGTTTTGAACCAATTGATTTGTGATATACGATGTGTTCTACGATATGTATGTGTTTCGAAGAATAAACATTGTATTTTGAGATGAATTTGAAAGTATTATTTTCAGTTTATTTCTCTTCCCTTAGTATGTTATATAATATATACTTACTAAGATGTTGATTGCTCACCCTTATTATTTCAGTTTTGCAAGGTATTAATGGATTGTTCATTGCTTCCTTTGGGTGTTTGCTCGAAGTCGACATATTGACCATGCGATTTATTTTTTGCATGATTTTATGAATCATGAAATTTCTATTTTTTTAGATAATTATTTTACCAAATGATGTACAATTATTTTTTTATTATAGGTAAAAAAGAAGAAGACGAAGAAGAAGAGAGATTTTAATCAAATAATTAAAAAAATACACATTAGTTTCGACTTCGAATTATAGGTTCTAGTAGTACAAGCCCTCAAGTCCTCAACAACAAAACTATGGTTCTTGCAGCTTTAGCCATATTTTTGTAATTGCTTTAATTTCTTTATAGCTGGAGATCCCAAAATAATACGGACTCAACTATTGCTACTTCAAACTTTAAACTTATTTTTACTAATTAATTTTTTTTAATGGCTAATTGGTTTTGGTCTTAATGAGAACTAACTAAACTTCCTTGCACCTTTGATGTTAAGCAATATCTTGTCCTCCAAGTTCCATAAAAACATACATAAATTGATTCTAACATGCTAAGCTAAACCTTGGAACTTTATTTTTGTTACTAAGTAACACATTTCCTTTTTATTTTCTCTTAATTAGAATGGATGAATTACAATATAATTAAATATTAGGATAAATATATTCATTTATCCTCGTATAATATACAAAGTATCATGTCCATTCCTAAATTTTTAATTGCATATCATTTATTTTTGAAAATTTTTTAAATATTCAATCTTGCCTTTCCAAACAATTTTTCCAACTATAGAAAAATTTTTTGATCAAAATGCTCTTGATTGAAACAAAAAAATCTAAAGATTTCAAAATAGAATATGCTAGCCATATGACTTTAAAAGTTTTTTGAATTTTAATAAACGGTATTTTGGTCAAAAATTATTAATGGTAAAAAAAATTAATAAAAAAAGAAATTGAACATTTTAAAAATTATTAAAAATAGATGAGATATAATAAAAAAGTTAATAACAAATGAGAGATTTTAAGTATTATTTAAAGACAAATGAATAAATCTACTCTTAATATTATGAGAAACTTAAACTTCGAACTCTTTCGATTGCACTTCTATGATCCATCAAACATTCCAATAAAATTTTGTCAAAAGAAAAAGAACACCATAATTAACAGTTTCCAATGGAAATGACACCTTGTTTATATATATATATATATATATATATATATATATATATATATATGTGTGTGTGTGTGTGTGTGTGTGTGTTATGAAACATTTCTGTTCCCTTCATGTTGTGCTTATTCTTTGATTATGGAACCGCTGCATGAGGTCAAAAGGAAAATAAAATGAGAACCCATAGCCCTGCTTACGAGAAAAGCGGAGAGTTGCGTGAGTGGTGGGATTCTTCAAGTCATATACTCCATTAAAAAAAGAAAAAAAAGTAACGTAAAAACTCTTGAATCAGATAGCTTGTCATGGATCCGACGACCATCCGGTCTAACAAGCCACTTCAACTAAGAAGTCTAACACCGACCATCTGTTTAAAAAGCAACATCAAATAAGAAGTGTAGTGAAGATCGCATTTGTATAACCATTCATCAATATAAAAAAAAAATGGTGCGAGCTTCCATGGATTTTCGTTGTGGGGACCCAAAGTAGTTGGGTGGAGGATGCAAAGTTGAAAGAGGTTTCCATCAGGCGGGAGGGAAAGAAAAACATAAGTGTCTTATTCATGGAAAGCAAAATCGCAAAGATTCCACCGCTTTCTCACCACTGCCTTTACAATTCCATCCACACTCTTCAATCTCCCTTAATTATTACCATCTTGAATCACCTTATCACCATAATTAAAAACAAATGATTTCAGAAGTCTAATCTAATTTTAACAACAACTAAATTATTATAATAATAACAATAATAATGATTTTTTTTTAACTCATACACATAAAGTTTTTTTAAGTAGAATTAACTCGTTAAAATTTGAATCCGTGATTTATTATTTTCTTGCTCTAAGAACTTATTATCACCGGATAACAAACTCTACAAGCTCTTTGGTATAATAATTACCTTTAACCTTTCAATAATATAGCCGTAGAAAATTGAGAAGAAAAGATTCAAACTTCTCCCGATCATCCATTATTTCTCTCATTTTTCTAAATCTAGCTAAAAACTAAACACAATGCCATATACCAATAAATAAATAAGGCAGAAGTTTGAGATATATTGGACATGGGACTGGCCCTCAATTTGATATATCTATTTTTAAAATTTCAGCTAAATCCAATAAAATTGAAATATCAAATTCAAAGAAATAGTAAAAAATGCAAAAACCTAAAATCAAAAGTCCTAACCCCAAAACAAAATCTGAATATCCCATTCTCAAAAACCCTAAAAAATAGAACTTAATAGGTAACTAAAACCTCAATTTAAAAGAAAAATCTCTTAAACAGAGAAAAAGGAAAAAACATTTCTTAAATAGAGAAAAAGGACCGCCTTTTATTGCTTACCCGAGTTTTGCCACGTACCCAGCAATCTTGTCAACGTAAAGAGGGCCAACCAACCAATGTTGGTAAAATGAGTGTATAGTTAGGTTTTCTAGCAGATAATTATAATTTATCATTGAAAACTTCCTTCAATCATAGAATTTTATAGAATTTTCTAGAGGAGAAGAAGAACCCTGCAGGATAATAAAGCATCTTTTCTTTTTTTCAAAATATAAAATAGAAAGAAAAAAATTTGGGCGCCCTAACTACTTAAAAGTTGAGGTGGTTTTATCAACCTCCCCATATTTTTGTGTGTTTGTAATTTAAAAATTATTAAATTTTAAGACGTTTTCTTGAGTGCCCCAAATATTCTTCTCCTGTAGGGTTTTTTTTTTTTATGATAACTGTTTATATCCAATTTTCAACGTCAAGGAAGAATGGTTATTTTTAAAGAAGAATTTTATAATCCCAATCCACTCACGAAATGATGACGAAATTATAATTTTAGGAATGGAAAAATCTATATTGAAAAATATATTATTTTTAATAAAATAAAATAAGGTGATCATGTATATGATTGGTAACCTTTTTTTTTTTGGATAGGTTTCGTATTTTCTCAATTTCACATAAGATTTTTCATTTGTTTCAATTAGACATTGTATTTTTTGTTTTTATTTCACTCTATGTAAAATTTAAATTCATCTATAAAGTTTATGGAATATCTCAACATAACCCAAAAAGTGAAAATAAAAAAAAATCATGAAAGAAAGATATTTTTTTAATAAAAAAATATGATAATTGTTTTTTCATCAATACTATCTAACAATCCTTGACAATATAAAAATAAAATTAAAGTAAAAACAAATATGATAATTTTTCTTAATAAAAACTATCAACCACCATTGTCACTCTCTCTTATTCACCATCTCAGTAGCATATTATATCTATATTTTTTATCCAATATTCCATAAAATCTCGAACCAAAATTTTGCAAAAAATATAAAATAAAATCTCTTATGAATTGAATGGTAGCTTGAGTATATAATAATTTTGACATCATTTAAAGCATGATTATTCGCATATATCAAAGGTGCTAGCTATTGACAACAAAATCAAAGAAATAATGGGACATGCTAGCTATTGACAACAAAATTATTTTATCTCTTTCTATATTTTTTGGATGCTATTGAGATATTTCATAAACTTCAAGAATGAAATTGAGATTTGCATATCTAATGAAGGGAGAAAATTGGAATAAAAGTGAAACATGTAAGAGCTAATTAGAACAAAAGTAGAAGGCGTGGAGGGGTGATTGGAACAAAAATAAAAGATAAGAAGGTCTCATTGAAACAAATCAAAAGTTTAATGTCAAATTGGGACAATGCATAAATCGAGGACGCAAATTAAAATTTACCCTCACTAGAATAATCATATTTGTATTGTTTCATATAGATATTTAGCTACCATGTTAACCATACAGAAGGGATGCTTTTCATTTTTTAACCTAGAGAATTATTAAATTCTTCTAAGCATACAAGGTCGATATGAATGGTGCATTCTTAAGATCATCTGAAAAAAATTTTAATTATGATTAAAGCATAAACTCTTTGAAAAATATTTTTACCATAAAAAAACATATATAAGCTACATTAATTCCATATTTCTTGTTTGATTATGGCTACGTAGAAGAGTAATTGATTTTGTTGTAACAAAATGATCAAGTGGAATAAATAAGATGATGACGGACATCTAAAAATAAATATATTTCAAAAACTTACTCAACTTGACATGATATTATGAAACGATTATGTTTTGCTTATGTTTTTGGCCATGGCACAGGTGCAAAAGGTCAGAATAAATTTAATATGGACTCCATAGCCTTGCTTAAGAAACTTGTGAGTAGCATGAGCGGTGGGATTCTTCGAGTCATTGCAACATGCAAACAAGTCAAATAAAAATACTCGAATAAAAAAGTAATCAAGATTTCAGCTTTAATTGTTTAATGAATCACGTCTCTTAAAGGATGACTTTTATAATTCCACTCACTCATGAATTGAAGATGAAATTATAAATGGAGAAATCTATATTAAAAAAATATAATTTTTTAGAATAAAAAAATACCGGGACCATGTTGACGATGGGCCTTTATTATTATTTTTTTTTTGGAAGGGATATGTATTTTATATGAAATATCTTAACATTTTAAGGTTGGTTCAATTTAGAACTTTCTAAAAACAGATTAATTTTTTTCCTAAATGGGGTTAGAAGGGAGTGTTAATCCCTTCTTTGTATATATCATAATATCTACTTTTTAAAGATAATGAGAGAAATTTTATTTTTTATTTTTTGGTTCAAAGTAATTAAGAAATCTTTTATTTCCTGTTGGGAGATTATTGTGTTAGGGAAGTATATATAATGGCCAGGGTTAATTTTTTGGAGGAAAAAAAATTGGATTTTTCAATATAATAGTCAAATTTGTATTGTTTCAAACAGATTGTAAGCTACATTTATTCCCTCCTCCTTATATATCTATGGTTACGTAGAAGGGTTTTCTTGTTTTTGTGGTTAAAAAATTGATCAAAAAGAAAATAATCGCTGAAGGACGTTAATAGCATAGGATCAAAACAATATTACAATTTTTTAGTACAATGTTACAAAGAGTTACTCAACTTGGCATGATATTGTGTAAAATATTTCGAGTTGTGAATATATATAAAGAAACTTTGTTTTGTTACCATCCTTTTTCTTCCCAAATTTTTAGTACAAAAATGTTCAAGTGTCTTCATGTAACACTTTTAACTGCATATATATACCCAAAACCCATCGGACCAAATTTATTAACGACTTAAAGGATCCAATTGAATTTTTCCTTAATTGATGCATGTGTGAGACTAATTCAAGGTTTGCTAATTAAACTAATTGACAAGCATTTGAACACATATGTGAGTGAAAGATCGCACGTAAACATATTTTGTCAATCCTTCAATATATATATATATATATATGAATATATTTGGCATGATAGTAGATTCCATAATCATCAATTCCATGTTCTAAAGGCATGCCGCGGCACGAAATCACTCCTTGATCATGAGCTTCAAAAGTACCACAGCAAGTTAAATAGGAAAAATGCTAAGAATTGATTTTCAAGATTGGTGAGTCTTGTACGAGGCAGTGTCAATGGAATTCATTTAGATTTACTTTTCTTGGATTGGAGGGTGCAAGATTAAAATTAAGTAGTCCATATGACCTCACACATTTCACTCAAATACCAAGTACTTCATGCACATATATTCTAAATTAATCAATTGTATTCCTTGTAGAGAATTAATCGAAGTGAAATGATTAAGACTAATCAAGAAACTCTCCAAGCTACAAGAACACAAATTCTTTATAGAATAACTAGTACGAGTACAAGAAAACATAGATAACGAACTGAGACACTATTTTTACTCTATCTTACATTTCTCTTGATAAGCAAGAGTACAACCTTACTCTTCTCCAAAGCAAATTTTGTCAATACAAGACAGCATTATACGTTTGATGGCTTAGAACAACATACTTGCGTTTCAGTTGAGGGTCAGGGCTAGTGGTGTTGCAATAGTGGTGAAAAACGCAATGGCAGCAAGAAATATTGCAAATTTCTCCAACACTGTGGACATGTCAGGAAACTTTTTGTTAATTAACTGTGAAACAAAAAGGGAAGCAAAGGTGAGTAGGATGGACAAAGAACGCAAGTAGAAGGAAAGAGGGAGTTTGGAATGCTGAGTTGTTTCGTATTGGAGAGCTATTTGAATTGCTGCTTCGAAACAGAATGCCATGATTACGTTAGGCCATTCTAGAGTGATCTGCTTAAAAATGACCATATTGATGTGTTGTGGATTGATGGCAGGGGAAGGTGTTTGTTGTGTTGGAGGTACTAATTGGAGCTCTGTTTCCGTAGCAGAATGAGGTTGAGGCAGCCTGTGTTTGAGGTGCTTGCGACAATATTTCTGTGTTTATAGCTGTAAAATGCAATGGTTGTGTTTCTGGGGTTTGAGATATTTGTTGGTTAAGGGCAAGAGAGAGTTGTGCCTGTGTTTCTGGCAATTGGGATTCAAGGTCGATGGAAGGAAAAGAAGAACGTGTATGTGCTAGTTGTAATGGTTGGAGTGGTGGTTGCAACATTTCTGGGGCTGTGGTATCTGAATGCAGAAGTTGGTTTTCTAAGTTTTGAGATATTTGGCTGGTAAAAGGGGCTTGTGGATATGAGACTGTTTCTGATGACTGTGATTCAAGGTCGAAAGCAGGAGAAGGAGGTGGGGTATTTGATGAACGTGAGGGCAGTAGGTATCTTACTCTGCCCCAGACGAGGATCAAGAAGGCTGTAATTGAAACA